AGATCCCTGGTCAAAACAGGAGATTTGGTAACCTTGGACCACATCCATCTCTACTCGAAACACCCTTGAAAGATATTTTCGAAAATATCGCAAAGGAGTGCGTTAAAGCTTTCGAAAAAATTATCGATTTTGTTGACTATCGATGAATAATTCTCAATTATTAATGAGCTGGGCATCAACTTTCCGTGGACCTGCTATCAGCAATACACATTACATTGCTATTTTCAAAGACTATTATAATATCATATTGATCAGTATTAATTTATTTTATTGTACGTTTCAGAAAATCAGTTCTATAATGTGATTGTACACTATGCATTACATATGCGAGCAAGCGAATAATAGAGACGCTCAAATCTTTATATGAGGCGCAGAAACTACCATTAAGAGCATTTTAGGTTAAGATATCATATTGACTGTTTAGATTATTCCTCCTTTCTTTTCACTCGTTCAAAAGTACAAATATATGTAAGGGTAACATGCGAGTTCAACGAAGAGAGCTAAGTTAGTCTATTTTCTTATTGCTTACAATTGTAGAAGATAAGTTTGAGTTTAGCTGTTTCAAAAATTACAATAATTAATCGTTTCCTACTCTCTCTCTCTCTTTTTCTTTCTGTTCACCTGAGAGAAACATAGGTCAACAATCGTCTACATTGAAAGGAATTCTTGTTTTGTTCTGTCTAATATTTTGCGTCCACCTCGCGAAGAAGAGAAAAACAAAATATTTTTCTTTTCTTCAATAACTTGCTCGTTTTTTCGCTTTCGCCTGTTCAATAGTGTTGCATTTCGTGAAAAAAATAGTTGCTCATGTTAGCGCAAGTTGTAGTTCATAATTAGAATGAATGTAAGCGTCACTATAAGTAATGCACATATCTTTATGGTGTCTATGAGAATAAACAGACTTAACGCAAATAAACGTCTTTTCTGAAGATAATCTTTCAAAATGAGAGAAAGAATAAAGCACTTGCTGTATCGTTAGTAATGATGAGTTTGTTGTTGAAAAGTTCCGATATCGATCAACTTACGGTGATCACTCTATGTAAGATAGACGAAATATAAACATCAGAAACTAATAATTGATATTACGGCAAAGTATTCAATTAAGAGAAAATTACATAGAAACACTTCTGCAAAAATGATGGTGTCATTTCTAAGTAGAGTAGGATCGAAGCTTGTGACAGTTCTCGCTTCACATAGAATATAATTGTTATCGACAAGTGGATAATAGTTTTCTAAGTATTAGAGAGTTGTGAAATGATTAATGTCAATTATTTTCAATATGAAACTTGAGTTTCTTATTATAAAAAGAATAGACATAATACCTTTTAAGTATAATTAGAATATTCATTACTTTACTGTCATGTCTCCGCGGATTTTAAATGACATTTAAACACTCAGCATTCTAGTATCTCAAAAACAAGAAATGAATATTGACGTTTTTGAATAAAGTAGAATATCTATAGTGAAGAACTAATTGTAGAAGAAATGTGACTAGATTTCGATTTTCAAGCATATGAGTAGAAGTAGATAATATGAGAAAGCAAACTTATCCTCAGAATTGCTATAAGTCTTCTTGAAGTAACTGCTACTGAGAAGTCGACACGAAGCATTTATAGGGTGTGGGGGTGGGGGTGGGTGTAAGGGTGAGGTGTGCGCGTGGGGTGTGGGTGTAGATGGATCTTCTTTTCAACCACACCCACACCCACACCCCACACACACACCCCGAGTTGCAAGAATTCAGAGTGTGGATGTGGGCATCGGTTTGGGTGAAGAGAATATCTTCATCTGCATCCCACACCCACCATTGTACCATAACCAATACTCGAGATCATATGGGCCATACTATCCTAACAATGGGTTTTCCCGTAGAATCCGACCAGTCTGTTCCTGCGAAATTGGTGAGGACAGCATATTTCCCTTTACATTTTGTAGGTCTCGAACTGCTCTATCTCCTCTGAAAATATGAGTTTGATTTGATAAACTGACGCGGTCAACCTGTGAGGGGGATCGTGAAATTGATAATACTTTTGTCCTAGTTAGAAATGTCGAGGAGAAGTCTCTAAAGATGGTCCGAAAGAAGTCCATATGCTTTATTCTTACTTAGAGGAAGATGAAATTCAATTTTAGAAAGTGTTCTAAGATAATTTGTATTTAGGGCCGTTTTACGTGCAAACCGTTCCCCATCCTTTAGTTGTATTTATTACTATTTATATTAATAAAATATGACTTCAATGGATGTTCTGTACAAGACGAAGAATCAGATTCTGGTAGATCTTATTAAGCACAAAATCTATTAGAAATCCATTAGCATCTAATAGGATCCAAAATATTCTAAGAAACAAATCTAAGAAAAAGAAAAAGAGTAGATCCTAATATGCTCTAATCGATTCTAGTGAACTTGTATAAATCGATCAATTTGTAATCTTTCATGACACATCTAGTACATGGAAAGGTTCTCTTAAACTTTTATAACAATTTGATTGATGTACTGCTTACATAATATAATTAACTGTAGGTAATCCAGGACGGTCTATAACATTTTTTCCATTTACAAATGATGGTGAATATGATCTATCGATTGATGGTTATGAATTCTATGCAAGATTATACGAAACCGAAAGTGAGTATCATTCTCTTTACTTATACTAATCATTTGAGTATTATTCACATCATTTTAGTGACACTTAATGTCTGTGACAATTATTACTTTGATAATTCAGTGAGACGCTTTCAGAATAAATCAGGTTATGTCGTTTGCACTGGACACAGAACAGGCATTGTAGAATTCTGTCCACCAGGTACTGAGGTGACATATAAAAATGGTGGATGTTTCAACAAAACGGGTGTGGGTATGGGTATAGTTTAAGTGTGGGTTGGATGAATAGAGCACACCCACACCCGTATACCGCAAATTGAAAGAAAAAAGATATTGTTAGAGAAAAATAGACGCGTCCGTCTAGTATTTGATTATATTCGCCGTGTAGATTTTGATTTCGTCAAATTTGTTCACTTTCGAAGAAAAAGAAAGAAAGACACACTCGTCTTTTTTTTTCTCGCTCATTATAAAGAGACAACTATATCTTATGTGTTGAATATTGATTATTATATCATTGCATCAATATATTGTTATTTTTTTATCTTATAAAAAAATTCTCAAACAGGTAAAACAACATCTGGTACGAGTTAGCTGTTGATGGAAACTCGATAGAAGCTATATTTCTACAACTGAAGCCGATCTTCAATTAGAGAAAAAAAAAATAAAACTTTGAATCAGCACCTTAGTGAGACCACTGTTGGAAGAATTCGCAGCTGTCTAGTACTACTCATCCGCTAATGAATGGTACTCGTATTTGTACTGAAATGATGGGCCGATACTCGTACTCGAGAAAGTTTCTAGTTGCCTAATGGTGTAAAGAAGACACTTGTCCACTTTTGATATTTGTGAAGGCGGTTGACTACATGGTGTGCAACAGTTAGGGATCTTCAAAGTGATTGCCACCCTGCCGACACTAAAACTTATTCATACTGGTTGTGATCAGGTTTTATTACGTATTTGTAAAAATCGACGTTTTTGAAAAGTTTAGTGGTTTCTCGAGTAGGAAAAGCATAATATACATAGATTTGATTCAACAGTCTGTTAGATACTCACTTATATGTACAAGTTTTTACCATTGTTCTGCTAGGTTTTTAGTGTCAATTGTTTAGTTTTATTGTTTTACTTATGGATATTTGAGAAAACTTTGCTATTCGTTGACAGTAGAAAAAAAACCGTAAAACTTAGAAAAAACTTTATCTTTCACAATACATATTAGTTTGTAGGAAACAGTTTGATTTTAACAGACTTATCGGAAGAAGATTCGACAATTGAATATATAACCAAACTTTTTGTTTTGTTTTAAAACTTTAAATTAGAATAAATTTTTATCCGACAAGATTTTTTATGTTAAATTGATGTGTTAAGAAAAGTGGAATTTCGTTTCATTGGGTTTTCTTTTCGATATATTTTCATTATTAATAATGAAGTCAATTTCCTCTACGAATTTGAAATAAAAGATAGTTTGATCAGACTTGATCATTCACTTTTTCAAAAACTTGGTTTCTAAAATAATTATTAACTAAAGTAAGCGACAAAGAAATATATATGAATGGTAACTGATAGTCTCTATAAAGAGGGAGCTTAACTCTTCTACGAACGGTTTAGCTCTGCTTGAAAAAAAGAAGGCTCAAGTTCCTGACAACGTCACTATCAGACGGATAGTTGAATTTGTACATGTGTATTAACAACAATGTATTTTGTATGAGTCAATAAGAATTTTATTTGTTTAGAATAAAATGATAAATACATTAGAAAGTCTAGCAAATGAAATTCTTCTTAATATATTATCGAATTTAACATGGTCTGAAATGATAGAATCGTTTTGGTCAATTAATAAACGATTTAATTCTCTTGTTTGTTCAATATTTTCAATAAATTATGGTAGAAATAAAAGTGGAATTATTATTAGTGAAACAGATTTATCTTTAAATAAATATCAATCAATATTATTGTCAATAATTTCTAATTCAACTCTTTCTGCTTCTATACAACGAATTTATATTGATGGAGCAAAATCATTTTTTTTTATCTTATATCTGGATGGATTTTTCAAGAAAATCTTATTCGTTTTATTAATTTGAAATCACTTATTCTAACTCGATGTTATCTATCAGAAATCTTAATTAATAATTTATCTTTACTTGTTCAATATCAATTAGACGAATTAATCTTAACAATTGATGAAGATAGTTTTAAAATGTTTTACTATGAATACGAATCTGGCAAGAATGCTCGTGATCAAGGTAAATTGAAAATTTTCGTCAAACAATTCATTTTATCCTAAAAAGTCTTAGAAGTTAAGAATTAAAAACAAATGAAACTTATAGATTTTGTTGTTGAAAAAAAATACTAAAGATTTGTTCTTTGTTTTTTTTTTAATAACATAGTTCAAAAATTGACAGTCATGTGTCAAGAATTCATACGTCAACTTTTTTCATCTAAATGTCAATTAACCTCTCTTCAACTTGATATTTCACAAGACAATTCTCTTTTTCAAATACACGACTGTTTTTCATCATCATTTTTTCATATTTATTCAAATGAAATCGACAATCAACTTGTTACTAATTGTATGAGTCTTCGTCGTTTACACATTCATGTTATTCATGGTTATTTTATTGAACATATTATTGAACATGTACCTCCTCTTGAAACTCTATCAGTTATAATCCGAGATTCATTGGCTAGCCCATTGTTATATCAGATCAAGTTTAAAACGTTTCCGCCAACTGTTGTCAACTGGTATGATAAGGTAAAATAAACAAAACATACTGTAACAATTGTGTAATAAGTGAGAAATAGGTTTTTTCGTATGTAAATCTTCCCAAACAAATTGTTATTTCTCTGTAAAACTACAAAATTCGTTTCACGTGTCCTAGACCAGAGCTATCAACAGGCCACTTTTTCCCTGCCTGACCTAGTCTACAGGCCAGACTAAAAATCAAAGAGTAGTCTGGAGCTTGGCTTGGTCTGCAGACTAGGTCGACTACTGTTTCTCCTATCTTGAGCCTATCGAGTTCTGTTGCTCTACAATTTAAAACTCTTTCAAAACCAACAATTTGTCAATACAAATCAATAGCTGATGATGCTTTATTGCCATAAATATCATAGTAGGTTTTTTTCGTGTTTTAATAAATTTATCTGTTTAGTAGAATACAACAATGATTCCACAGAAGAAGCGAATAGCTAGGGATGGGATCTTCATTTTCTTTTTACTTTTCCAAAAGAAAGTGCAGTTATTTATTTTGTTTTTGAAAAAAAAGAACACATTCGAAGTCATTATTAAATTCTGCGTCTAATGAACTGTAATTCCATATAATTGATAAAGGAATTTTTTGCATAGTTTTGAGTTCATCATATGCTGAAAAACAACAGGAGAAAAATGAAAGTCATTCTTGATAGGAAAGAGGTATCTAGCTTTACTCCATAGTTATACTCCGAATTTAATGCTGATCTCGAATATGCTTTTTTTTCCAAAATAAAATAATTAATTCAACTTTCCTCTTTTTTGTTTTTGAAAAGAAAGTGAAAGATCTATCCCTATGAATGGCAAAACATTTAGACCTGATTTCTGAATAGATGAAGCAGAAGAAGACAATAAAAGACAACTGCTGTCATGCAATATTGCTCTATTCAAATTGTCGAGCACATATAGATTATGTAAAAAAAAAGATCTGTCTTGAAGTGAATAATAACTTTGTTTTATTCTATTGAAATAGTCATAGCTATTATCTTTCTTTTATTCTCTCACTCTTTTACTCTAATAGATCTTTTTCATTTTTTTAAAAGTCTACAGTTTATGTAAAAAAACTGTTAAAAGTTAAAGGGTAGTCAAAAAAGTTTCGACCCTCTTAGTAAATCGATAATATTTATGACAAACTTATATATAGATAATTGATCGAACTATGGAATTTTGTAGAGAAAGAGTAGAACTATCTTCTGAAAACAAGATATTTCGAAATGCTTAAGTGTAAGATAAATGTTATAGTCATTTTATACATCTTGAGTAAATATTTTCATCTTACATTTTTTTTTGAAAAAGATTTTTTTTTATATATTTTTCTGAAAAGATGTAAGATGAAAATATTTACTCAAGATGAATAAAATGGCCATAACATTTATCTTACACTTAGGCGTTTCGAAGTATCTTGTTTTCAGAAGGTAGCTCTTGTTTTTTTTCTCTACGAAATCACATAGTTCGATCAATTATCTATATATAAGTTTGTCATAAATATTATCGATTCACTAAGAGGGTCGAAACTTTTTGATCACCCTTTAGTACCATCTTATCATAGATCTTTTGTTTTATAGCAGAAAAATTAATAGTAAATCATAACCAGGCTAAAGTCTCAAAACTTCACCTTGTCTGGCGGCGTGGCAAATGCCTACCAGGCTGGCAATTCTATTCTAGACTAATATTTTGGATTCTGACAGCCTATCATTTCACTTTTTTTCTTAGCGAAAAAAATAATGTATTTGGCGGTTGTTTGGAAGGGGAAAAATTTTAATGGCTGAAAGGTATTTTAAGAGAGTCATGTCCTAACAATTAAAGTTCTTTTTATTTTTCATCCGATTTGAACCAAAAATTTTAATGAATGCTAGTCTTGAGTAGGATAGATTTGTTTTACGATTTCTATTTTTGTCAATTGTTAGGTCCTGTTGAACGATTTATATCGTAGAAAAAAAAGATTTCACTTTAAAAGAAATGTATTTTCGAGTAATTATTTATTTAATTATAGATTCCAAAGTTAAAATGTTTTACTTTAAAAAGTAACATTTTTCGTGATTCTGAGTTGGTATATTTAAAATGGATTCTTAATAATGTTAATCATGTTGAAAAATTAAAACTTAGACTTGATATAAATTTAACATATCAAGAAGATTCAATGAAAAGAGATTGTCTTGTTGATGCCAATTTTATTAATGAATATTGTATGCCTGATATATCGAGAAATTTCATTGTTTTTAATTTTTATATTCTATTCAAATGTGAATTATTGTCGGATAATAATATTCAAACAATAGAAAACTCATTTAAAATTCATCGATTTTTTATTGATGATCATTGGATAAAGGTGAAATGTTTCTTTGATCCAATAATGTCATATCAACATATATCATCAACTGGAATGATCAAACCAAAATTCTTTGATAGTATTATGTAAGAAGAATCGTTTTACAAAAATCCATAGAATTTTTTTTTTTCATCTTTTAGAAATTATTCAAATATTTTCGATTGGCAACATGTGAAATCTTTAAAGGTTGATTTATGTCCATCGATTGATTTATTTCTCAAACAATTCGATATTCTATTTCCTCATATAACTTCTATTCAATTTAATATGGGTTAGTATTCGGTTAAATTTAATAGTTGAATAAAAAAAAAATTCACCAAATCAAAAAAATAGAAAAGAAAAATGAAATCTCGAAAAAAATTTCGTGTGAATGGAATCATACTAGTGTACTGTCGGCAGCTATCAGAAAATCATATTAACATAGCATACATATAATGACTGAAGTTAATATTGCTAAGATAGATATATTATTGTTTACACTCATCAATGTAATCCAAAGGAGCGTTTTAAATTCACGTCTAATTCAAAGTGATATCAAACAGGTCAATTACTAGAGAATGTGTTGCAGAAAGTATCTTGGACTTTCTCCATCAGTAAAATACTATCTTGTGAGAATTTTATTAGTGAAATTTGGAAATCTTTATAATATTATTTTCGTCTATCCTAGAATTATCTACGGTTAATTTGAAGATATTATTAGGACTCTCGATGTACTTTAGAAGTTGGAGAGGGAGAGAAAGCTGAAATTTCTCAAACTCAGGGACAGCATGAAAGGTTGGTAACAGGGAGAAGAGTACTGGTGAAAAAAGGAGACAGGTCAAAGAACTTTTTGCCATATGGGATAGTCATAGGTTTTTTCAGAAGATTTCTTAAGAAGTGCGAACTAAAGACCGCTTTCTCCTCTTCACTGTGGTTTTCTAGGTAGACTTCCTATGTTGAAGCTTCTAAATCGGCGTAACTGACTCTCAGCATTGGAGCAAGCATGCCTCAAAAATGAAGAAAGCATTTGCTAAAATCAACGAAAATGTCAGCCAGATTTTCGAAACTCAAGAGTTAGCTTACTTTCTCGGTTGCGCAGTCCCTGCATAGACTATGTGGCAGAAAACAGAAGGTAAAAAGCTGTCTACTAGAGTTTGACAGACCGTTTTAGGGCCATCACTGCAAATGTTCGCAGACACGACTTGAAAAAGTAAGAGAGATTAGTCCATTTCGCCCCTTCCCATCATTAGACTTGAATTTTATGTAAAGTTTTCATTCTTCTATAGGGCACGAAAAATTTGTCCATGGCTCTGAATATTCCATGTTTTTACAATCATCATTGGATGTATTACAATGGAAATTGACCAATATTCATCTTCAATACATTACAAAACTTGATTTTGGTTCTCGCTTTTGCCGTAGTTCTGGTAAGTTATACTTTTTAGCTCTCGTCATATTTTAGAATCCTGTAAATCAGCGGTTTGTTTATCAATCATTGCTATAAAATAACTAAATGCTGTGAACGTAATTTACTCAGTTTGTGAGCATTTATGCAAGTGTCTTAATCTGTTGAACAGACAATTTTCATCACAAAAATGCATTTTGTTTTGTTCGGAAAAAATTAAGATATTGTTCTATGTTATTAACATGAAATAACTAGAAATTTAGCCTTTGTTCACCAAACGTATGTCCTTGAAAGATGTTCACAAATAAGGTAACCTTATTCTGGCTTGTCCTAGAACAAAATAAAAAAAAATATTTTTTTTTGACCGTGCCCTGAGAGAATAGGGTAAGATCTTCATACCCTTCTAATTTATACATCAAGTTTATGAATTTCATCTTCAAGAAAAAGCGTTTTTTAAGTTTTTGCAAATCAAAAAACGAAAATAGATTACAGAGACTATAGTAGCTAGTACTTTGCAGTGGCGGCGGAGCCATTAGGTTTGGGGAGGCTCATATTTTGAAAAAAAATCACAGATCTTAGCATGGACTTGTATTTAGTATGCGAAAATTCTTTGAACAATAGTATGTTCAGCCTCATATTAGATAGCACGATAAGTGGCACACCAATTGCGTTTAAGAAAGGTCAAGTCTTACTGAAAAACCAAGAAGGACATCTGAGAGAGACTCGATATTTGAGAAAACTTTAGGGACGTCATTCCGAATTTCAGAGTGAATGTCACAAAATGTTACCAACATAGCTTACATTGCATGTATCTTCGCATGAACAAATGCTAAAATCTTGACTTTTTTCAAAGGATACCTTGTCAACAGTGTCTAAAATAACTATTAAAAAGTCCCGTTAGCTTAATGTATGAAATAGTATCTGTTTTTTTGCATCTATTTTCCTAAAAAAATGATAAAAATATAGATTTCTTATATAGATATGTGATTAAACTCTTCACAATATTCATAGAATAAAGGTTTTCCTGCTTGATGATAATAAATTTGGAGAAGGAAAAAAGAAAAGCTGTATGACACATTCTAATTTTTCACGATAACAGTAAACTGAACGCTACAAAAAGGCCGAATTTTTATTAAAACCAAGCTTAATGTATTAAAACACTACTGAATGCAATAATAATACCAGAATAATACGTTTTGTGTTTGAAGATCACCTTAAAGAATTAAAAGTGAACAGTCAGACAATTACTCGTTTAAATACTGGAGCAAATTTAATTTAGAAGAGTGAAAAATATAGTATCTTGAACGTCTTTATTTTTAATTCTCTCAAAACGAATTAAGACAACTCAAGAGAACATTTTGCTTCTTTAAAAACAGATCCAAGTTTTCAAGATTTTTGTGTGAAAAAATATGTATGATAAATATTTTTATTACTTTCAACATGATACGGCATAGCAATGTTTTATATATCCTATCTTTCACTGTTCTAAGAACTCATCAGGACAGATGGACAAGACGTTGTGATGCATTGTTGTAGAGAATTCAACAATAGCGTCTATATTTCATTTTTCCGAAACTTTTCTGAAAGTTCCTGTACTTAGGTACTTCTTTCATCGTCAACTGAACGAAATTGAGGCAAACACGGGTATATGACCGAAGATGAAAATAGACAAGACTTCAGATGAAGAACAGCTGAAAGATGAGCGCTTATTCTTGCAAATCATGAATTTTTTTTAGTAAAGTTATATTATGTTCTATGCTATGAAATAGAGAAATTTTTTAATTAAAATGAATCCTGGAAATTCAAAAAAAATAAATAAATCACGAAGGATTCTCAACTTCCATAGGACATCTTTCGATAATGCTCCTAGATTATATCCGTCGCCTATAGAAGGATATATGTCAAATAGATGCTGTTGAAAACACATTGAGACATTCGATATCCCTTGATAAAAGTTAAAGTGGAAAAGCTAGAAAATATCTCTTCCCGAACATCACCTTCCTATCACTGCCTGAGAAGTTTTGAGTCTCTCTTAGATTAGAATTGCTCCGCTGCCTCTGGTACTTTGAGTTATTCTTCATCGACATACATTCGAATGAACATGTATGTTAGAAATATAAAAAAGTAAATGTAATCATTTTCGAAAAATTATCTTTGTAGTGTATTTGTTCTCTTGGATTTACCATATTGAAAATATAGTTTTACTTATGAATTTCATATCGTTTGGTTTTGATGATATTCACCTGTTATTAACAAGTTTGAGTGTCAGAGTGAGCACGGATATCGATGTCGGTGACGATGTAGATGTGTTGTAGTGTAAGTACGAATATGGCATTAAGATAATTCTTACAATCACTTCACACTGCATCGACTATTACCGCTATATACGTCACGCGTACACTCAATAAGAAAGCATATCGATTCTACAGAGTGATACTATGCTCTGCTCTATTTGATCCAGTGCAGCAAGTCATGACAGAACAGGATGGGTTTTGTTTGTTTTTCATCAAAAGGGCAGAATGTAAAAATTCACTCTGTGAGCATCTCTAATGCTGTTGGATACTGGTATTGGTCGATCTTATGTAATAGAGAACATTGCATAGTTGACACGAGAGGATTAATTTTTATAAATAATTGATAAAAATATATTGGTAGAAATGTTCTTATTAGAATAATAATTATATATTTTTAGAGTACAAGCATAAATCTATTGATCAAAATATAATACGAGCAGAAATACTTGCTTATCTTATTTCAATGCCAATTCAATTGATTTATCTTCGAATTGAACATTTTGAATGGCTTTTGCACATTGTTCAATATGTACGTATTTATTAACTCTTACTCCTCTCTCTTTCTCCCTCTAGTGTCCACGTCTGTGGATGTTGGCATAACAAAATCAGAACGTTTGATGGAAAATGAACTCTTGATTGATCATAAAAGCTAATACTTTTTTATGGAACTTCTAATTAAGATATAGAAAATTCAAAATGCAATTTTTCTGCTTATCGAGCATTTTATTAAAGTTTTTGAGTTAGTCAAAGCTCAGAATCTTTTCCGGTCTGAAAACTCATATTTGTAGATCAAAGGAGAGATTTATCATTTGTTGAAAGTGCTTAATAAAATTATAAATGAGTTACTAATTTTGAAATCATAAGATTGTAATATTGAGATTTGTTGACATGCGAGAAGGAGGATAGAAGAGTGACATGAAAACGGTTATTTATACTGACAGGGCTACCTATCTGTAAGCATACAAATAATGTACATTGAATGTTTGATAATATTTTTAACAAAAAAAGGAAATAATTAGAGTATATTCAAAAGGTTCGACTTAATTTCTTTTAAGCTTTCGAAGTTCGTTCGTCCCATTTTCAGGCAACAAAAGAAACAATACACGGCTGATGATAACTTGAATAAGAACTATGCGACTTATGAAACTCTCCACCAGTTATTCTATGCACAAAATTTCAATGAAAATATAACAAGCATCGTGAATAGTATGATTCATAGGACCTTCACTCAATTCGTGATACTATACTTCTGCACACAGTCATTTCCACGCAAACTGAATTTTTTTCTATTCTACCTATGATAAATTTAAATAACTAAAACTTGTGAATCTCTCAGTCAGTCAAACAGCAATATCTGTTTGTAAGCTGTCCTAGATTAAGAGCTCTCCTTCAGGACATGAAAATCGAAATTTTCTCGATGTTTTGTTTGTCATTGATACATACATACTTTCAAGCGTCCTCTACACGTTGAATGCATTTTGAGAACTCGACTATAGCTTTAAAGTTGAAAAATAAATTAAAAAGAATGTTACATTTTTCTCCCCCGATTTGTCCGACGTAGTAAAATGTATTGAGTTGATACTTTTTTTTTAAATATACTAGAAACTATTTGGCATGGATAGTTTTTGTTTCTATGATCTTTGTTTTAACATGAACTATTATTAAACTGTTTGATTTAAATTATTCTAATTCTGTGATTTTTGTTTCATAAATAAACTGTTATAACTTTGAATTATGTCGTTGCTTTTATTTTTAGGCATCGAACAAACTTAGAAAAAACGCATTGAATTCAGTTCGATATGCTGAATTTTGTCTTCCTAGTTGTCATAATGGTTCAAATGAATCGACGCGTGTTGGAAAAAATCTTGTATCTTTTCTTGGAAATTATACACCATATTTGCAAACATTACGTATTTGGCGACCAGATGATTTTCCTTGGACATCAAGTAAATGAACATTTGAATAAAAAAAATAAATAAACTCAATATAAATGAATTTTTATATTATTTTAATGATTAATATTTTGTTCTCTTTCATCTCAGAAGGAAAATCTAAACTTAGATTTAATCATTTCTATAGAATAAAACAAGAGTTCAATTTGAAAAATTTCTTAAAATTCTATATCGATTCGATTTTCTTAGAAAAATCTTACAAAGATATACGATCAGAGTTCGATATTTGAATCAGAACAAAATATTTTTCATTGAAATATTGCTTGATCATCTAAATAAATATAACATTTTTGTTTTTTTTTTATATTCAAGTTCGACCAGAATTTCGAACGGAATGTCGTCGTCAAATTTTGACTGATAGATGGTTAAAATCTTTAACAACATTTCAATCAATTGGTACGGAAATCAATTGGACTTAAATGAATAATAAAAGTTCTTTTTTTTTAGCTGAACATGTTTCTATATTTGAATATGATCTTTCTCAATTAATTCAACAACTAAAACAATTTACTTTTCTCGATATTTATGGTCGAATTGATCGTCAAAAAATCGAACCTTACCGTTCTATGATTCAAAGACATTTTCCTAATAGTCGAGTTGATATTCAAATAACAAGATTTTGTCTTTGGTTTTGATCTTCTATGTATTATATTCACTCAATATAAACTGTACTCATTGAATAACTTTGATTATTTTCTTCCTTATTATTTAATCATTAATAAAAAGTTGTTTTCTCATTCAAATCTTTGATTGAATATTTATTTTAACACTTTTGTAAAACATGATTTAAAAGGAATATGTGTGGGTGTTAGTACAGATGAGCGAGGATTTGAGTGACATTGTGAGTAGATATTGTTGCAGTTATTTTGGTCATCATACACCCATAGTTACCAGTGATTGGACAGTGCAGAAGTACAAATACTTAGTACTTAAAACATGTACTGTGGACTTTACTTGAATTCTTTTTACTGCAGTACAGTAAAATAATGTACATTAGAGTACTTATTAGAGGTGTCACAGTTCATGTTTAGTTCTGCTCACAGGAGCTGTTCAAACAGCTCTTTTAATAGCAACTGTACTTATGAAACAGTTCTTTTGTATCAAGACCTATCCTATTGGTTATCCATACGTCCTTATGGACTATTCTATGGGGAAATGGAGTCCACAATGGACAGCCAGGCGACAAAATCATTTTTCGAGATTCCAATCTATATTGTAGATAGCATTAAAGATACCATAATAAAACAGGTGAATATCATTAATAGGACCATAAAAGTAAAATGTGTGTTTTCAAATGAAGATCCAGTTATATTCCTTAATTATTATGTAAGTTATACAGTGTTGTGTATTTACTATATGCTAAAGGCCATTTGGACTTCTTGAAGTCCTTTAAGCTATAATAAGATCAAAAACTTCTACTCAGTATAACAAAAAATAGCTACTACTCAATATTGAAATTCATTTCTCGGAACTTTAATTCAAGTGTTAAGTTACTATCTGGTAGAGTATGCCATCATGTATCTTCAGTGGATGCCTAGAGATGCCCACTTACACTGTTGTTGAGATATAGTATCTCAAATGTAATCTTTCATCAGCATCCGTTGTTAATCGCTATGAAATTACTGCTCATGTTTCTAGTTCATGAAGTTTTTTCATATTTTATAATTTTTCCGTTCGTAAAAGTGCACCGAGTTACGCGATCTTCATGAATTTCGTTCGAGAAATATTATGCTAGAGGAAGTGAATAACTGCCATAATAAGAGCTAACAAATATTACAACACATCCCATGAGTGTCGAGAATCCTGAGTTTTAAATAGAAATTCGAAAAAAAAGGAAAATATTGGAAAATTCAATGTAGTAAGTTTCAGAACACATTAGGAAATTATCTTAAATTTCTACTAACATTTATAAAAACTCTGTAAAACATAACAAAGAAGACCTGATAGAAGGTTCCAGAAAGTATTTCTGGGACTCATGAAATGCTATAGATATATTAGAAGTGTTTCTATCATTTTTTTTTTTCGTTATGAACATTATAATATCAGAAAGCTCTTTCATGTATCACAATAGACATGCATCAAACCTAAACAGTCATATATGTCAAACTCGAAAGTTGAATTCAACTATTCAATTATTCATTTCAACAAGAGTGAGGGCGAAAAGAGTGATGGGCTGGTGTCACATCGGATAGCTGATAAGTTGAATAATTGACAGTAGATGCTCCTTTTGAACTCTAATAGAGTTTGTATCACAGTGACATTCATGTATGTAGTATAGGGTGTATTGGTTTTATTCGTAGTATTAGCAGCATAGGATGTATAGGTAGAGGTGAGGGTGGATTCGGTATAATCCATTAATTGCTTTATTCGAATTTGTATCGAAACGAAGGATTAAATTGCTAAGTAGAGCTTCGAAAATCAGCAGAAAAAATGAGTCGATCTTTTTATTTAAGTAAAGAATAAAGAAAAATTTATCTGAACTATAATTATAATTTTAAGAATGATCTTACTGTTAGTTAGGTGGAGAATAAACACATAAGTTATATCTCAGTTCTATATAATTATGCTCTACGATGGAGTCTCCTAAAACTTAGGCAAAAGACAAAGTTTTGTTGGATTTTAATTAAATGCATAGTAGAAGTTGAAGTATTTATCCACTTAAAGTAGCTGCTGATCGGATAACTAATCCTTTATTCCAGCGTCGTAGTGTGTAGTCGCATTGTGCCAACGAAGAATTGACACCAATGATCACGGCTGTGCATACATGAAAGATTCATGTTGAAAAACAAGTGACCATAAAAGACGAACAAAGTGAATAGAATTTTCTCTTTTAATGAAAGGGAAATATATACATGAATCGTGGACAATAACAAAGTTTCTCTTATTTTTGAAGTGGCTGATTTTTTTTAATACGTTATAAAGGTCAAGATCGTCTGAAGTCTGAAAGTTGAATGCGTCTTTAGTGGAAAGTATAAACGTAAGAAAGCATTTTTTCTTAGCATTTAAAAATAAAAAGTATTTTGAGTATCTCTACATCAATATATTACATAAAAAGTAGAGTTTTTCTTTGATGATTGAAATCTTATGTGAATTTGAACTAAGCGAAATTGGAAGTTTGAATTGTCATACTTATAAAACGTTTTTTGGAGTGAAATTTCAACTCTCTTTTCTCTCGATAGATTATGGAATAATAAGTATTTCTTCGAATAACATCTTTATCATTTGTTTTATATTTGAGAAAAAGAATTTTATGTCTTGTATGGATTGTCGCAGAAACTCAGTTAAGTCCTAGTATAGAGGGTATCGTAGATCTATATCTTTATGCTTCTATATGTTCAATATCTCCAATATACGATAATAGTGATATTTTGATATGTATATAATCAATATAATGAGGCATATAGATACAAAATATATTGAATATGTCAGAGATATTGGAGGTGTTAAACATATAAAAACAGTGTTTAATATATTTTTTTTTAATTTCTAAATTTTGATTTCGGATATTAAGTTTTGAAAAGAGATCCTTAGCATATACGAACATTGAGTTTTCTATCACTATTTCAAAGTTTGACATTTTCTGATTGAGCAAGAAAAAGGAATTCGTAACTATTTGTGAAAATATTATCGTGTAACAGTTGGAACAGTTTTAATCTATTGATTGAACATCATCACAGCAATTACATCGGACATTGAATTTGAATTAAGTCAAATCTTCTTGCTAATTTATTATATTCGATCAAAAAAAAATTAACTATGTAATTTACTATTTTATTTTATTTTTGGATTTTCGATTCAATTCATTGATATTAGTCCGTCTTAGAAGGGTGTGGGTGGATCTGGGTCAAGAGGAAAAAGGCGAAAATTCCGTATTTCGGTGTACTTCTGTGTATTCCAAGGTGATGTCAAAACAATTCTTGAGAAAGTTTTAGCTATGTCAAGTCTACTATTGACGTTTGCCACGCCACAGCAGTCGGAGTTCAACCGATATAAGTCATTGTGACAATAAAGTCTAAATACTGCATCATGTTTCTATTAGTGAAGTACGATGTAGTATTTAGACTTTATTATCACAATGACTTACATCGGTTGGACTCCGATTGCTGTAGCGTGACAAATGTCACTAGTGGACTTGAAATAGCCAAAAAGTTCTCAAGAATTGCTTTGACATAACCTTGGAGAACAGTGAAGTACACCGAAGTACTTTGGTTTTCGCTTCCTCCCCCTCGCCCCGCGCACCCACCCGCCCACGCGCCACGCNATCCTGAGTTTTAAATAGAAATTCGAAAAAAAAGGAAAATATTGGAAAATTCAATGTAGTAAGTTTCAGAACACATTAGGAAATTATCTTAAATTTCTACTAACATTTATAAAAACTCTGTAAAACATAACAAAGAAGACCTGATAGAAGATTCCAGAAAGTATTTCTGGGACTCATGAAATGCTATAGATATATTAGAGGTGTTTCTATTATTTTATTTTTTTCGTTATGAACATTATAATATCAGAAAGCTCCTTCATGTGTCACAATAGACATGCATCAAACCGAAACAGTCATATAAGTCAAACTCGAAAGTTGAATTCAACTATTCAATTATTCATTTCAACAAGCGTGAGGGCGAAAAGAGAGATGAGCTGGTGTCACATCGGATAGCTGATAAGTTGAATAATTGACAGTAGATGCTCCTTTTGAACTCTAATAGAGTTTGGATCACAGTGACATTCATGTATGTAGTATAGGGTGTATTGGTTTTATTCGTAGTATTAGCAGCATAGGATGCGTAGGTAGAGATGAGGGTGGATTCGATATAATCCATTAATTGCTTTGTTCGAATTTGTATAGAAACGAAGGATTAAATTGCTAACTAGAGCTTCGAAAATCAGCAGAAAAAATGAGTCGATCTTTTTATTTAAGTAAAGAATAAATAAAAATTGATCTGAACTATAATTATAATTTTAAGAATGATCTTACTATAAGTCAGATGGAGAATAAACACATGAGTTATATCTCAGTTATACATAATTATGTTCTACAAAGGAGTCTCCTAAAACTTAGTCAAAAGACAAAGTTTTGTTGGATTTTAATTAAATGCATAGTAGAAGTGGAAGTATTTATCCACTTAAAGTAGCTGCTGATCGGATAACTAATCCTTTATTTCAGCGTCGTAGTGTGTAGTCGCATTGTGCCAACGAAGAATCGACACCAATGATCATGGCTGTGCATACATGAAAGATTAATGTTGAAAAACAAGTGACCATAAAAGACGAACAAAGTAAATAGAATTTTCTCTTTTAATGAAAGGGAAATATATACATGAATCGTGGACAATAACAAAGTTTCTCTTATTTTTGAAGTGGCTGAGTTTTTTTAAAATACGTTATAAAGGTCAAGATCATCTGAAGTCTGAAAGTTGAATGCGTCTTTAGTGGAAAGTATAAACGTAAGAAAGCAGTTTTTCTTAGCATTTAAAAATAAAAAGTATTTTGAGTATCTCTACATCAATATATTACATAAAAAGTGGAGTTTTTTTTTGATGATTGAAATCTTATGTGAATTTGAACTAAGCGAAATTGGAAGTTTGAATTGTCATACTTATAAAAAATTTTATGGAGTGAAATTTCAACTCTCTTTTCT